TCAGTAGAAAATTCTTCGTCAAAATTGACATTTCTCAACCTCAAATATTTAATTCAAAGGTGATGAAATTTTATTTGGTTTATTCGATTGATAAAAAAATTAGCATTTTTATTATATATTTTTTGTTCTAATTATATTTTTTAGTGTACTAGTGTGATCGTAAAACCTAAAACTAAATCTGATTCTGGACATTACAAACTTGAATTCGATCTTAAAGGCAAATATAACCATTTATATATATATACAAGAAAGTCAAGATACTTTATTAATATTATTGTCTTTTACTTTATCTGTACATCACCAGTCACAAACCTGGTAAACTATATACATTTCGTGGTGAGCTGCTTATTCTCCGAGATGCCAAGGTGTTCCTCTTGTAGTAAGGTTTTCAAAGATCGACAGGCATTAGGTAATCACATAAAAACATATTTAGATGATAGTGATGATGACTTACCTTTGTCGAATCAACCAATTTGCAGAATTTTTTCAATTGAAACAACCTGAATTCTAAATGAAAAAAACATATTTGAAAGACAAACCATACCTGAAAGAATGGAAACAACTTGTAAGAGAGCACGTTTTGAGCAAAATCTAAATATCGATCAGGAGAATGTTGCATTTGATGTAAAAGGAGCTTCTGATATAGATGAATCTATTGAAGGATAAGACATCGATATTCTATTCTCTAGCTGTACAAGTGAATCTCAAAGCAGTGACTCATCTGATGAAGTCAACGAAGAATATGCAGCATCTGATCTGTCAGACATGACGGAAGTTAATGCTGATGATTGTGCTGAATACAATGCTCTACTTACCAAAATACCTAGTGATCCCGAAGATGTGTATCAAGAATTTCCATCAGAAGAATATGCAAAATTTATGCACATGTTAACGCGGTTCTATGTACAAGATCCGCTTGCCAACGCTTTTATAAAATTCTTCAACAAATACTCAAGTCGTAACGATCATCCATTACCATCAACATCATAGGCCAGACGAGCATTTATAGAAAACCTAAATCTTTCAAATTTCAGTTGGCGAAAAGAAAAGATTTTTGAATACAAAGGAATAGAATATGTATTTGAACACAGAACGGTGCTTGACGGTGTATAACAGCTATTGATTAATAAAAGTATTACTGAAAATTTTATATTTAAATACAAATCATCTATTAAAAATGTAAGTATAGCTTACTTGAAATTTTGGAAGTTGTATTAACTTATCTGATTTATAATTTGTGACCAAAGACATCAAATCAACGTCAATACACAGATATATATGATTCTAATTGGTGGAGAAACGTAGAGCAAAATCTTTCAATAGGAGCACACGTAATGCCAGTTATATTGTATGCTGATGGTACTCTTTGTGACAACTTGGACAAAACATCGTGACATCCAATATTTATGACAATCAGAAATATTCCTTTAGCTCGTCGTAATAAGGTTGATGCCAAAATTTTACTCAGCTATATACCTAATCTTGAATATAATAATACATATGAGAAACATTCAACACAATTTCGAACAGCATCACGCGAACTCTTTCACCATGCACTTGCGACTATATTGAGACCATTGAGAATCTTAAGTAATACAGGAATCTATTTGTATGTCAATGGTAGTCTTATGTGGTTCTATCTATATTTGGCATTTATAATTGCAGATTGGCCTGAAGCGTGCATGATGTGTGGCGTTTATGGTTCACCAAATTCTTTACATTCATGTCATTTCTGTTTGGTGGAATGTAATATGATGAATGATGTTCATATCGCAAAAGATATTCATATTCGTAATGAAAATGATACTAAGAATGCTTTACGTTGTGGTAAAGATAAGGCAATCTCAGTATAT